GAACAACTGTAACCACACCTTTTATTTTGCAGGTAAGAAAACTGAGTCTAATAGATGCTAAAACAGCTAGTTCAGGGCTTAGCCATAACCAGAAGCTTGGTAAAATTCTCCCTCCATCACATGTGCTGCCTTTCCATTCAATATGACTTAATTAAATTCAATTCCATTCAACAAACATTTATTAAGTACCTATTATGTGCAAGGTACTTGGCTAAGGGTCAGAGATAAAGACAATCTCTACTCTTGTAGGGAGCCTAAATTTTATGGGGGAAAGAGGGAATAGAACATGTAGATAAATATACAAAATATATAAAAGTTAAAACAAAGTAATTTCAGATATAAAGGACAGAACACTAAAAATGGTGGCAATCAGGAAATATTAATGAATGAAAATTAATAAAAATATTAATGAACAAAAACAGAAAACTAAACAGGATCTTCCCCCTCTAAACACTTTCCTAAAGGAATAAGATCTGCACTGCTGTTTCACATAAACAAAACAGATGCAACTTTTTTTTTTTTTTAGTGAGGGGAGAGGGGAAAGTAACATGAAAATCCCAAACCACCCTTGGTATTTCAATATAGTCTCTTTCCCAGCCCATCCTCCAGAGTCAATGACCAATGCATTAAGAATTTGCCAAGAGAAACAATGAAGTCACTGATCCTACAAAGTTTGAGAGCATAGTCCAATTTGCCTCTTTGTTTTCTCCATCAGGATGTTTAATTACTTCTCATTATTGCTCATTTGTGGTTGTTGGCAGAGGAACTCGTAACCTCAACTACCGTAAACAAGTGAACATACACACTCCTCCCCCTTCAGTAGTTTCTGATACTACAAATAATTGGCTATTGTTAAATGCTGCCAAAACAATATTGGTTGGCTTCATTAATGGGAAAAAATGTTAACTATTCCTACCCCCTAAAAGATTAGAGTCCTGAAAGCACTTGAATTAATTCTGACATAAATTTATACCATTAAAAAATTCTCAAGTAAGTCATGCCTATGTGTTTAGATATTTTATAGCATATAAACTATTCTGTGAGTTGTGCATATTTTAGTTTGAATTCAAATGTTTGGTTGAGTATTTCTAAATGTGTTATGTAAGACTAATATTATCTCTACACAGATTCCACAGAAAGGCTTTCTGATTCAACTGCTTAATTTTATGGACCCTGGGATATGGTGCTATTTAGGAAACTAATCTGTTCAACAGAAATCTCATTTTCTTTTGGATATGTGGAGGCAAAAGAGGTGCATTAAGGGTTTGTCTCATGTTTTGGTAATACCAACACCTAGCATACACAGTCCTTAAGACAGAACCAGCCTTTAATAAATGCTAAGGGAAGGAAAGAATTGTTAGATGCTGAGAGGGAACACATAGTACCTGTCATCTACAAATTTACAGCCTCAAAAAGACAAAATAGGTACAATAGCTAAAGTAAAAGCCAGCAGTTGATAAAGCATGTGACCTAAGTAATATATGAAAAGAGAAATATATTGTGAAAAATACCTGAAACTATCTAGGTGGGCAGCCTGCAAGTTCAATGTACTGAAAAAGGAAGGAAAAAGGTATTCATAAAGCACTTACTTTGTGCTAGGCACAGTGTAAAGTGCTGTATAATTTTTATCTAACTTGATCCTCACAACAAACCTGGGAGGTAGGTATTAATAATTATTATTATCCCCTTACAGGTGAGGTAACTGAGAGAACTGAAGTGATTTGTCCAGGGTCACACTAAAACTAGTAAATGTCTGGGGCTGCATTTGAATTCAGGTCTTCTTGACTCCAGGGTTAACACTCTATCCCAGGGGTTGGGGACCTGCTCTATCCACTGAGCCACCTAAGGAAGGAGTTTCATCATGTAGAAGTCAATAGTGTCGAGATAATGCTGAGAAAGAGTTTGGGTTGTTGTTGTTTTTTGGGAGTTTTTTTTTGGCTTTTTTGGTGAGGCAATAGGGGTTAAAGTTACTTGCCCAGGGTTACACAGCTTATAAGTGTCAAGTGTCTGAGGCTGGATTTGAACTCAGGTCCTCCTGACTCCAAGGCTGGAGCTCTAAGTGTCAAGGAATTTAGTAATATTAGGTATTTTTTCTATGAAAGAACCAAAGAAGGATATAGATAAGATTTCCAGAAAATAAGAAAGTACCTCGAAAGGTTGTGATCTGTCCCAGTGGAGGAGTAACTATATTGATATGTTAATGAAAGCATCAAAGAAGTTATTTACTTGAGAATTATTATCCCAATTTAAAGCCTCTGTTAAAATATCAGACAGAGAGATTTATTTAGCATCTTATAGGATTCTAAGATGAAAATGTCACACGTGTATCTTCTTTGAAACACAGCTTATTCTTGATTACTTATTCCTATAGATTGTGTAGCTAGGTGGCTCAGTGGTTAGAACATTGGGCCTAAAATAAGGAAGACCTGAATTCAAATCTGAACTCAGACATTTATGGGTTGTGTGACCTTTGACAAGTCACTTCACTTGTGTCTGCCTCAATCTCTTCAAATGTAAAATGTAGATAATAATAGCAAGCACCTCCCAGGGTTACTGTAAGGATTAAATGAAATAACATTTGTAAATCATTTCACACAGTGACAGGCACACAGTAGCATGTGCCTAACAAATCCATCCATCCATCCATCCATCCATCCATCCATCCATCCATCCATCCATCCTTCCTTCCTCCCTCCCTTTAAGAAAGCATGTCAAAGAGCATGATAAAACTGGAAAGACCTTAGAAATCATTTAGTAATGGGGCTTTGTTATATCTTTACAATATTTTGAGAACAGTATTTCAATAGAATTGGTTTCTTTTGTAATTCTTTGTATTTTATGTATTTAAAACCTTCATTCTGGTAAAGGGTCCACAGATTTCACCAGCCTGCCCAATGGGTCCGTGACAAAGATTAAAGGGTGTAAAACCCCCTTAACTGTACTGTCCCTGATTCATTTTATAGATAAAGATGCTGAAGCATCAAAGGGTTAAGTTACATTTCTAAGGGTGAATATACAGGGACAGAATGCTCATTTTCATACTAGCCCAGCATTCTTTTCACTACTATAGTGCAAAGTTTCAGTCAAGGAACAAGAACAGGGACTAGGACCAGGCCTTTTACTACTTTAATCCAAGACTATTTGACCTAGCAGTTTTTGCCAGGAGTACTGAACACTCTGCTAAGCTTCTGTAATGGGTAACAGGTAATTCTTGATTACCTTGCCATCAGTGAAATCACATGGCAAAAGAGAAATCCCATATAAATGTCTAAGGCTACAGCTACGGCTAGGTGGGTCAGCAGATAGAGTGCTGGAGCAGATATCAGGAAGATCCAAGTTTAAATCCCCCCTCAGACATTTAGCAACTGTGTGACTCTGGACAAGTCACTTAACCTCTCTCAGCCTCAATTTCCTCATCTATAAAATAGGAGTAATGACAGCAACCTCATAGGTTGTATGGATTGACTGAGGTAACATGTAAAGTCTTTTGTAAGCCTTAAAGATATCAGGAAGATCCAAGTTTAAATCCCCCCTCAGACATTTAGCAACTGTGTGACTCTGGACAAGTCACTTAACCTCTCTCAGCCTCAATTTCCTCATCTATAAAATAGGAGTAATGACAGCAACCTCATAGGTTGTATGGATCGACTGAGGTAACATGTAAAGTCTTTTGTAAGCCTTAAAATGTTATATAAATGCTAGTTGTTATTTCATCTTTCAAAGGAAATTATGTGTACTATGGCAAAGAAAAAATGGTGAAATCCAAAGTTAGGGTTAATGATATTAACTCTAACACATTTAGAGTTAATATCATTAAAATCATTAGATCGTAAGCTCCTGGAGGTTAGGGATTGTCTTATGCCTCTTTTTGTATCCTGATAGCTAAGCACAGGGCCTGGCACATAATATGAACTTAATAAATGTTTACTGATTGATATCAGTTAGGCGTTAATTTAACAAAGAGTCATGCCTTGTGGTTCAGTTTCATTGTCTCAACTTGTTGGTCATTTGAACCAGGATCCTATGTTAAGGGGGGAATTTAGGGAAGGGAGATAATAGGACCCATGATTTTACCACTGCAGGCAAGTCCTCATGAGGAAATGTTCTCTACCAATGGAGCTCAGTAGCTCATCTACAATTTATCATATTAGAAAGTTGCTTAGGAGTAGTGAGAAGTGAAATGGCTTGCCCAGAGCAAAAAAGCTAGTACATGTTAGAGGCTAGATTTGAATTCAGAAGAGGAATCCTCCTGACCCCAGGCCCTGAGCTCTACCCAGTGTGCCACCAAGGTCCTTAATACCTGACACTTACTAGGTGTATGACCCTGGGAGAGTCACTCAACCCTATTTGCCTCAGTTTTCTCATGTGTAAAATGAGCTGGACAAGGAAATGTTACAGGAGAAGAAAAAGATACTGCAACATTTTTGCCAAGAAAACCCCAAATGCAGACATGAAGAGTCAGACATGACTGAAAAGGAATGAACAGCAAACAAAAAGTTAAAGACAAGAGTAGTTCTCTAATAAGGTTTCTTAAAATTTTTTTTGCATTATGGATCTCTTTGGCAATCTAGTGACCTCTGATCTCTTCATAAAATAATGTTTTTAAATGCATAAAGTAAAATACACAGGACTACAAAAGAAACCAATTATATTGAAATATGGTTATCAGAAATTGAAAAAATAAAAAAGTACCTTTCAGGTTAAGAACCCTGGACTATGGCAATTCAAGGATACTTATGGAAATTCAAATACATTTCTATTTACCCAAATCCCCAAACTGATATAATCAAGACAGCATATACTTTAAAACAGATGATTAGTTTGACCATGGAAGTATAAAACAGGATTCCAATGATGAATTTGCTAATATTCTTCCACACAGTTACTATGTTTTGTTCTTTAGCTTTAACAAATATATCAGGAATATAGATACACTGTGTCAAAAATGGGAAAAGCGACCTCTACCAAGGGAAATAAAATTGTTTCTTTTCTCATTCCAGACATTCAAAAATGCCTTCCAGAAGTAGCTGCCCTGAAAACATACCCCAGACACAGACGAACAAATACAACGAGGATCTCACCATCCAGGGTGTCAAAACCATGAAGAGGGGAAATAAAAAGAACCATTATGGCTTTGACACCAGTTCTGTCCTCAGAAGTCCCAAATCAGATACAACACAGAATGGAAGTTCTCCCAAAGAGGCTAATCTATCAAGAGACGACTTGCTATTCCTCCTTAGCATTCTGGAGGGGGAAGTGCAGGTCAGCTGCATTTTGAGTCATTATTCACGTTCTGATTTTGAATTTGGTGTACATCCTGACACGGAAACATATGCTATGTACATTTGCATGCCCATGACAGCTGATGCATGCACGAGAACACACACACACACACACACACACACACACACACACACACATCTCTTTTGCCAACTGGGAAAGCAATTAATCATCTTTAAATGAGCTGTCATTAAGACACGCTATTGGAATGCATGTTGTGAAAGGTCACATCCTCGGCTTCAATGCACAAACATGCATCTACAACAATAATACCAGGTGACTTCTGGGGGGGTTTTCAGTAACAAAAGCTGCTTTTGTACCCAGTACAAACCAGCTTCTACACTTAACCATAACATGTTAACTTACTGGAAAAGCCTAAAAGCAACTGTTGAGACTTGGAAAATCTTGTTGCTTACATTTGAAAACCCAATGAAATAAAAAAGATTAGATGCTAGTCCAAAAAGAGGCATCAAGCTAACTAAAATACTTAAAGGTAAGATGAGAGTAGGGCAAAGGAACTTAGTTCCATTGCTACCTTTTCAATAAGAACTATAACTTAACATTATGTTTGAACTATGAGAAATATTGTCACTTGCTGCTAATTCAGACAGCCTGTTTTTATGTACCTTGTGTTCCAACAGGCTCGAGATGAAGTCATAGGCATTTTAAAAGCTGAAAAAATGGACTTGGCTTTGCTGGAAGCTCAGTATGGGTTTGTCACTCCAAAAAAGGTATTAGAGGCTCTCCAACGAGATGCTATTCAAGCAAAGGTTGCTCCGTGGCAGGAGGACATCTATGAGAAGCCAATCAATGAGGTAGGTGCCATACAAGGTGCTCTAATAGGTAACCTTAAAGTATACTTGTAAGAAAAATCTGCCAACTTAGCCAAGGCTAAGCTTTTGAGGACCATTTTTTGTATTCTCTAATATTTAAGCAACCTAGAAGAGGAAGCATACTAAAGGCAGAATACAGCATGATGAAATTTAACACCATTATGGTCTAAGGAAAATCAAGAACACACAAAAAACAGGAACAACATTCTTCTGCTAAGTTTTCTTCCCCAGACACCAAACTGAAACTACCAAATAATATAGAATTTGTTTAACAGGGAAAAGTGAGAGAATAAAGGTCAGTATATCCTTTGGGGGCTTGCAGGTTAACATCTTAGGCAATAATAAAAAACAGATAAAGTTCAACTGCAGAGGTTAATTTTTTTTATACAGTAAGGTATTATGTCATAGAAACTTTGAGCACGAATGGAAACGACCTGAGGAGCTATCCAAGAAATAATTTTTGAAAACACATACTTCTGTTATGTACTTTGCATAAGTGCATACTCTCTTTTTCCTTCAAAAATTTAAAGGCAGCAAAAAACTTTTCAACACCAAGTTTGCTTGGCAATTGCAAGGGTAGATATAAATATGATTCTAAACATGGCCGCCATGGTGCAAATGCGTGGTGGATTCTGAGTCTTTTGTTGACACATCTCAGACGTCTTAGGATTATTTTATCCTTTTTGTTTTCCTCTGAAGCCTTGATGGAATTTTTCATCAATTTCTCACTTTTTAAAATAAGTTAAGGGATGAAAAGCACACATTAAAGCTGGAGATCACGAAGGCAAGATTTGGACAGACTTGCCCACACAACTCTGGCAATAGACATTAGCACTGATCTCTAATATCCTTGCTATTCTCATCTTGTGAGTCTCTTGGGAAAGAGACTCCCAGTCTTGCCAAATTGTGAAGGAGTTTGGTCATGTGGATCAGCATCTCTGAGGGGTTGGGACTAGACCACCCAAAGGCTGCTGACTTATGATTTAATCCAAATTTTAAGCATGGGGAGCCAAAGCTAAAACTTAGGAATACTAAACCACTCTACTTGGCTCCCAACAAATTAAAAGCAATACAGGATCACAGACACATCTCCAAATACTTCAGCAATCAGAATCCCTATCGTTGGTTCCATACTGGTGGGCCAACATATTCCTCCAATACAAATTAATAACCATAGGACATATGCTGTGACAAAACTCCATGTCAGTTGACAGAATATAGTAAATGGATCAACCCCAGTGCTACGGTACAGAGCTAAATAAACCCTTTTCAACAACATAAGTTTGAGTTATGAAATAATTCTTGTAAAAGCCATGCAAAATTAAAAACCCATTCATTCTTTCCAAATGCCTAAAATCTAAGTTCTTCCATTTGGCATCTAAAGCTCTCCATGATCTAGCCCTACCCTACCTAGCCAACCTCAACTCTCCCTTCTCAGTACAAAGCCTCAGTGTAGCCAGGCTGAACACCTTTACTATTTTTTCTTACACATCCTGTTGGTTCCTAACTTAGCTCTATTGTCTGCAGTCTCAACCCTCACTCATGTCTTGAGGCCAGGACAAATTTTCCTCAATGGAGTCTTCTTGAGCTTTTCAATCCATTTGGACCTTTCCCTACTCTGAACTTATCCTCCATGTATTGTCTACACAAGTTGGCAGTTTATGTTTATATCTATATCTATATATATATATATATATATATACACACACACACACACACACACACACACACACACACACACACACATATACACAGATAGATAGATAGATAGCTATAGATATAGATAAAGCATTATCTTACTAGATAATTATTTCATATCTCTCCTCAATAAGTTTGTAAGCTACTTCAGTCAGTCAATAAACATAGTATAAGAAGACTGAAAAGGAAGGGTGTAGGTTGTGAAGGGTTTTGACACCAGAGGATTTTATATTTGATTCTGGAGGTGATACAGTGCATTGAGTAGAGGATAATATGGTCAGACTTGCACTTTAGGATGATCACTTTGACAGCTGGTTGAAGGATGGCCTGGAATGGGGAGACATTTGTGACAAGCAGGCTCCCCAATGGGGAGGCATGGTGGCAAGGTCAGAAGAGAGCAGGGGGGAGTATTCAAGAGATGTTACAAAGGCAAAAATCTGCAGAATTTGGCAAGAGATGGAACACAGAGAGTGAAAGAGAGTGAGAAGTCAAGGATGACAACTAGTTGGTTTGCAATCCTGGGTGACTGGGAGGAGGATGGAGTACTCCAATATCAATAAGGAAGTTTGGAAGGGAGAGGGATTTTGGGGGAGAAAGATAATGATTTCAGTTTTGGACATGTTGAGTTCAAAATGCCTACAGACTATCCAATTTGAGATATCAGAAAGGCAGCTGGAGAGGCAAGATTAGAACTCAGGAGAGAGGTTAGGGCAGGATCTGAGAATCACTGGCATAGAGATAATTGAATCCATGGGAGCAGATGATGAGATCACCAAGTGAAATAGAGGGAGAAGAGAAGAGGGCCCAGGACAGAACTCTGTGCAATACCCAATGTTGGCAGGTGTGACCATGGCAAAGATGCAGCAAAAGAGACTGAGGAGTGGACAGATAGATGTGAGAAGAACCAGGAGAGAATGGTGTCCTGAAAACCTAGACAGAAGAAATTATTAAGGAGAAGAGGGTGATCAACAGTGTCAAAAGCTGCAGAGAGGTCAAGAAGGATAAGAACTGAAAAAACGCCATTATATTGGGCAATTCAGAAATCATTAGTAACTTGGAGAGAGCAGTTTTGATTGAATGATGAGGTCAGAATAGCCCTTGGAAAGTTAAAGGAGAGGGAGGAAAGGAAGTGGACACGCTGATTGTAGAAAGCCTTCCTAAAAAGTTTAGCTACAGATGTGGACAGCATTTTCCATCATGAGACCTTTGGAGACATCTTAGATCCTTGCATTGGTGAAAAGGGCCAAGTCTATCAATGTTAGTTATCTTACAACGTGGCTGGTTCTGTTCACTTCACTCAGCATCAGTCCATAAAAGTCTTTCCAGGTTTTTCTGAATTTCGCCTGCTCATCATTTCTTATAGCACAATAGTATTCCATTACATTCATATATCATAATTTGTTCAGCCATTTCCCAATTGGTGGGCATCTCCTCAATTTCCAATTCTTGGCCACCACAAAAACAGCTGCTATAAATATTTTGTAAATTATAAAAATAAATATAAAAATGCTATCCACATCCAAAGAAAGAACTATGGAGTATGAATGCAGATTAAGGCATACTATTTGCTATTTTTTCCTTCCATTTTGTTTTGTTTCCTCTTTCTGGTGGTTCCTCCTATTGGCTCTAATTCTTGCTTACCACATCACTAATGTGAAAATATGTTTAATAGGAATGTATATGTATAGCTTATATCAGATTGTATGTTGTCTTGGGGTGGGAGGGAGAGAAAAATTTAAAACTTGAAAGCTTATGGAAGTGATTATTGACAAATCAAAAGAAATTAATTAAAAAAAAAGTGCCCAGGCCAAAAAAAAAAAGTTTAGCTACAATAGGCTAAATATAGGATATTAGAGATATAGGATGATAGTTAGCAGAAATGGAAGAATCATGTGAGGGTTTTTTCAGGATAGGAGAGACATAGGTGTGATCATAGGTAGTAGGGAAACAGCTAGTAGATATGGAGAGACTGAGGATAAGTAAGAGGGTGAGGAGGGGGGCGGCAATCTGTTAGAGAAGACAAAATGGAATGGAGTCACTTGTGCAGGCAGATGGCTTGCCTTGGAAACCTGAAGGGCCACCTCATTATGTAAGACAGGGATGAAGGAGAAGATAGTGACAAAAGGTTTCTGAGTGATAGAAGATGCAAAAGAGGAAAGAAGATGGAGCTCTTGGCAAATGCACTCAATTTTTTTCAGTAAAATATGAAGCAAGGTTCTTAGCTGAGAGAGTAGGGGGAAGGAGAACCAAGGGAGGTTTGAGGAGAGATGAAAATGTATAGAAGAACTGCTGTGGAGAGTGGCATAGTGAATTAATTAGGGAGGTATAGAAAGAATGTCTTGCAGCAGTGAGGGCCCAGTTGAGGTTATGTAACAAATTTGTAGTAGACTCTGTCAGTGCAGTTTCATGATTTTTTTTCCAACTTCATTCAGTAGTATGTGTGTAGGAGTGAAGGGAGCGGATAGAGTGTGATCCAACGTTGAGGTTTGGCAGGGCAAGATCAAAGATTTGATAAGGGGGCACAAGACTCAAGAGAAGAGAACAGTGTAGAATTAAACTGGTTTACCACAGGGTTAAGATGGGGAAAAGAGGTGTTTGGGGCTAAGTGCAGGGATCATGACCTGGGACAAGACCTGAGGAGTTAAGAGATCAGAAGTCACAGCAATAGGACAATATGTTATTTCCTTTTATATCCCCTATAGCATTCGTGACAATATTAGGTAGATAGCAGATGCTCACTGTTGGTTAATTAATTAAAACTACTTCTTTCCTGGTGGCCAAAAATATGACTCAGTGAATATATAGTTCCATAGCTCTAAAGGAAGACATCATGGCTAGTGGTACATACAGGTCAGATTAATTGAACAGGGATTACAAATTCCTATCACGTAATTCTACAACCTTGAATGACCCTAGTAAGATACAAAGATGAGAAAAAAGACACAAAGATGATTTAAAACATTTCAGCAAACATTTATTAGGCAATTATTGTGTACAAAACACAGAACCAGACTCCTAAGAATACAAAAACAAAAAAGAAAAACAATCCTGGACCTCAGTTACATTCTACCAGGCAATATAAAAGGAAAACAGATAAGTAAAGATAAGACAATTTAAAGAAGAAAGTAATCTTCCCATAGGTCTAACTTGGGTCTTTGAAGGGAACTGAGAATGCTAAGGAACAAAGGTGGGGTGAGAATGCATTCCAAGCATAAAGACCAGCCTAGGCAAATCAAAGAGGTGGGAGATGGCATGTTGATGCTAGAGAATAACAAGTGAGCCAA